CTCATCGACGACAGCAAAACGACAGGCCGCGCACGCCGAGAATCGATTCTTTAAATCGAGTAAAGGAATCGAAGGCTGTCGATTCCTCTAGAATCGGCCTATTCCCGTTGAATCGATTCCGCACGCGAACACCGGATATCGATTTCGCGCCAGATAATCACGAGAATCGATATCGATGAAGGTCCATGAGCCGAAACGTCGCCTAATAAAACTCCCCTCCCGTGACATAAAGATCTTTATTTTAAAATAACATAAAGATCTTTATTTTAAAATAACATAAAGATCTTTATTTTATTATTTTTATAAAAAATAATAAAATAAAGATCTTTATTTTATATTATAATTTATAAAAATAATAAAATAAAATAAAGATCTTTATTTTATTTTATTATTTTTATTAATTTTGATGTTTTACCTACGTGACTTTACAGAAAACACCTAAGAATATGATTCCTTGCAGTCACGAAAGCTTCAAGTCTAGATGGTCATCTATCAGCTTAACTCAGATAATCTGTGTGTCTGTGTGTGTGTCTGTGTGTCTGTGTGTGTGTCTGTGTGTGTGTGTGTGTGTGTGTGTCTGTGTGTGTGTCTGTGTGTGTGTGTCTGTGTGTCTGCGTGTGTGTGTGTCTGTGTGTGTGTGTCTGTGTGTGTGTCTGTGTGTGTGTCTGTGTGTGTATCTGTGTGTGTGTCTGTGTGTGTATCTGTATGTGGGGAGCGGTAGTGTAGCGGTTAGCGCTACACTGCGCTATGAACCTGGCGACACGAGTTCGATTCCTGCTCCGTCTTCGCAACATAAATGTTGTCCTTTTACACCGTTGTAATGCGAGCAAGGTCAGGGTCACGTGAGTGTGGGCGGAGTCAGGGTCACGTGAGTGAGGGCGGAGTCAGGGTCACGTGATGGGGAGGATATAAGGGGGGAGAACCGGAAGGGGATCGGGAGTGGAGACAGGATAGAGAAGGGAGAGGCCACGCGGACAGCTGGCGAGGAGTGGCGCGAGTGCCACGAGGCTGGAGTCACGGCACCGTCGGCCAGCGGTGTTCGTGGAGCACACGAGCAGCGGTGTGGCTGCAGAGAGAGAGAGAGCGGGAGCGGAGAACTCGGACGACGTGCGGAGGCACGAGGCGGAGAAGGTGCGGGTCGGAGCGGAGACATCGCGGGGAGCGAGCGGACGGTGCGGGTCGGAGCAGGGATATCGCGGGGAGCGAGCGGACGGTGCGGGTCGGAGCGGAGACATCGCGGGGAGCAAACAGACGGTGCGGGTCGGAGCGGAGACATCGCGGGGAGCAAACAGACGGTGCGGGTCGGAGTGGAGACATCGCGGGGAGCAAACAGAAGGTGCGGGTCGGAGTGGAGACATCGCGGGGAGCGAACAGACGGTGCGGGTCGGAGCGGACACATCGCGGGGAGCGAGCGGACGGTGCGGGTTGGAGCGGAGACATCGCGGGGAGCGAACAGACGGTGCGGGTTGGAGCGGACACATCGCGGGGAGCGAGCGGACGGTGCGGGTCGGAGCGGAGACATCGCAGGGAGCGAGCGGACGGTGCGGGTTGGAGCGGAGACATCGCGGGGAGCGAACAGACGGTGCGGGTCGGAGCGGACACATCGCGGGGAGCGAGCAGACGGTGCGGGTCGGAGCGGAGACATCGCGGGGAGCGAGCGGACGGTGCGGGTCAGAGCGGAGACATCGCGGGGTGCGAACAGAAGGTGCGGGTCGGAGCGGAGACATCGCGGGGAGCGAGCAGAAGGTGCGGGTCGGAGCGGAGACATCGCGGGGAGCGAACAGACGGTGCGGGTCGGAGCGGAGACATCGCGGGGAGCGAGCGGATGGTGCGGGTCGGAGCGGAGACATCGCGGGGAGCGAACAGACGGTGCGGGTCGGAGCGGAGACATCGCGGGGAGCGAGCGGACGGTGCGGGTCGGAGCGGAGACATCGCGGGGAGCGAGCAGAAGGTGCGGGTCGGAGCGGAGACATCGCGGGGAGCGAACAGACGGTGCGGGTCGGAGCGGAGATATCGCGGGGTGCGAACAGACGGTGCGGGTCGGAGCGGAGACATCGCGGGGAGCGAGCGGACGGTGCGGGTCGGAGCGGAGACATCGCGGGGAGCGAACAGAAGGTGCGGGTCGGAGCGGAGACATCGCGGGGAGCGAACAGACGGTGCGGGTCGGAGCGGAGACATCGCGGGGAGCGAGCGGACGGTGCGGGTCGGAGCGGAGACATCGCGGGGAGCGAGCGGAAGGTGCGGGTCGGAGCGGAGACATCGCGGGGAGCGAGCGGACGGTGCGGGTCGGAGCGGAGACATTGCGGGGAGCGAACAGACGGTGCGGGTCGGAGCGGAGACATCGCGGGGAGCGAGCAGACGGTGCGGGTCGGAGCGGAGACATCGCGGGGAGCGAGCGGACGGTGCGGGTCGGAGCGGAGACATCGCAGGGAGCGAGCGGACGGTGCGGGTTGGAGCGGAGACATCGCGGGGAGCGAACAGAAGGTGCGGGTCGGAGCGGAGACATCGCGGGGAGCGAACAGAAGGTGCGGGTCGGAGTGGAGACATCGCGGGGAGCAAACAGACGGTGCGGGTCGGAGTGGAGACATCGCGGGGAGCAAACAGACGGTGCGGGTCGGAGCGGAGACATCGCGGGGAGCGAGCGGACGGTGCGGGTTGGAGCGGAGACATCGCGGGGAGCGAGCGGACGGTGCGGGTTGGAGCGGAGACATCGCGGGGAGCAAACAGACGGTGCGGGTCGGAGCGGAGACATCGCGGGGAGCGAACAGACGGTGCGGGTCGGAGCGGAGACATCGCGGGGAGCGAACAGAAGGTGCGGGTTGGAGCGGAGACATCGCGGGGAGCGAGCGGACGGTGCGGGTCGGAGCGGAGACATCGCGGGGAGCAAGCAGAAGGTGCGGGTCGGAGCGGAGACATCGCGGGGAGCGAGCGGACGGTGCGGGTCGGAGCGGAGACATCGCGGGGAGCGAACAGAAGGTGCGGGTCGGAGCGGAGACATCGCGGGGAGCGAACAGAAGGTGCGGGTCGGAGTGGAGACATCGCGGGGAGCAAACAGACGGTGCGGGTCGGAGTGGAGACATCGCGGGGAGCAAACAGACGGTGCGGGTCGGAGCGGAGACATCGCGGGGAGCGAGCGGACGGTGCGGGTTGGAGCGGAGACATCGCGGGGAGCGAGCGGACGGTGCGGGTTGGAGCGGAGACATCGCGGGGAGCAAACAGACGGTGCGGGTCGGAGCGGAGACATCGCGGGGAGCGAACAGACGGTGCGGGTCGGAGCGGAGACATCGCGGGGAGCGAACAGAAGGTGCGGGTTGGAGCGGAGACATCGCGGGGAGCGAGCGGACGGTGCGGGTCGGAGCGGAGACATCGCGGGGAGCAAGCAGAAGGTGCGGGTCGGAGCGGAGACATCGCGGGGAGCGAGCGGACGGTGCGGGTCGGAGCGGAGACATCGCGGGGAGCGAACAGACGGTGCGGGTCGGAGCGGAGACATCGCGGGGAGGGAGCAGAAGGTGCGGGTCGGAGCGGAGACATCGCGGGGAGTGAGCGGACGGTGCGGGTCGGAGCGGAGACATCGCGGGGAGCGAGCGGACGGTGCGGGTCGGAGCGGAGACATCGCGGGGAGGGTGCAGAAGGTGCGGGTCGGAGCGGAGACATCGCGGGGAGCGAGCAGAAGGTGCGGGTCGGAGCGGAGACATCGCGGGGAGCGAACAGACGGTGCGGGTCGGAGCGGAGACATCGCGGGGAGCGAACAGACGGTGCGGGTCGGAGCGGAGACATCGCGGGGTGCGAACAGACGGTGCGGGTCGGAGCGGAGACATCGCGGGGAGCGAACGGACGGTGCGGGTCGGAGCGGAGACATCGCGGGGAGCGAACAGACGGTGCGGGTCGGAGCGGAGACATCGCGGGGAGCGAGCGGACGGTGCGGGTCGGAGCGGAGACATCGCGGGGAGCGAACAGACGGTGCGGGTCGGAGCGGAGACATCGCGGGGAGCGAACAGACGGTGCGGGTTGGAGCGGAGACATCGCGGGGAGCGAACAGACGGTGCGGGTTGGAGCGGAGACATCGCGGGGAGCGAGCGAGAACCCAATAAAGGACACGGAGAACAACGACGGCTGAGAGTCCTTTATTACAAAGAGGCAACCACATTTCCAGTAAGCATTTCTTTTTTAGTATTTGGTCCACGTGCACCTGTAATAATATTGACGATTCAAATGATATTCATAGATTCTCTTTGGTCAAGTTCGAGGAATCTTCCGTACAATGTTTCCCACAGAGAGTTACCCTCAGCATTGAAACAAAACTTCCTATAATGAGTAGATCCACGTCACTGGACGCTGCTCTGAGCCAAGCCTAGCAGTTGTCAGTCAGACTCGTGAAATAGTGTATGTGTGAACACATCTTAAGTCTCGACCAATGTCCACTACTTATGCATGAAAATATCTTGTCCCGTGACCTCTTGCTAGCAGCCAGCCTTCGCCGCGTCAGGTGGCCTCAAGGTGCACATGGCCTGGCACAAGCGTCGTGGGGACGTCACCGCCACTTACTGGCGAATGGCGGTTGTTGTTGTGGGGAGCGGTGGGTGTAGTGGTTAGCGCTACGCTGCGCTATGAACCTGGCGACCCGAGTTCGATTCCCGCTCACGGCCAACACCATTGACGATTATTTGAACCGGTCCCGGGCCTCCCCTTGGTCGACTCAGCCTGAAATGAGTACCTGGTGCGGTGAGTAAACATCGCCACTGGGGAGACAAAGGCGGTCGGGCGTGGTGCTGGCCACCCACCCCCTCGTGTGCCGTGCCGGCCTTTATACAGTGAGGAAAAAAGTATTTGATCCCCTGCTGATGTAGTACGTTTGCCCGCTGACAAAGAAATGATGAGTCTGTAATTTTAATGGTAGGTTTATTTGAACAGTGAGAGACAGAATAACAACAAAATCCAGAAAAACGCATGTCAAAAATTTTATAAATTGATTTGAAAAAAGTATTCGATCCCCTGCTGATTTTTTACGTTTGCCCGCTGACAAAGAAATGATGAGTCTATAATTT